CAAGCGGCAATAAGCGTAAACGGACAGCCGATGATGAGTTGAGCCCTAATACCCCTAAGCCCCAGCCTCAGCCCCGGTCTCGTCGAGCAGCTAACAATATGCCACCTACCAAGGACACGGAACTAGTTGAGCCTGGTGATGATGACCTGGGCGACCCTGACAATACAGCTAATGGAAAGGTCAAGAAGTCTACTGGTGGTGCAGGTCGAGGGGGGCGGGGTGGAGGCAGTAGAGGCAATGGAGGCATTAGAGGCAGCAGAGGCAAGAGCCGGTCCTAAATAATAAATTAGTTGTGTGGCAGTGCGTAGGGACGGATTTGGGTCAGGTCTGCCTTTAATTTGGTATGAGTATTTTTGTCTGGCGTCAGTTACGGTGAGATACCCAAAAATAACAGTCTAGCATGGTTATTACATTAACCTGTATGCATGCTAAGATGGGTTTCTATATCGAATACTCCCTTCTTAGATGCATTATGCTATAGGAATCCACAAAATAGCTTGCAACAAACGTTCCAACAAGCAATGTAATAGCAGAAGACGTTGAGTTGCAGGGAAGATACAGGTTATGTATGCTAACATTGCCTAATCACGTCTAACCTTAACCTAGTTCCATGTAATTTCTGGTAAGGTGGGCGTACGGTGCAGACCGTGGAACTATCCTAAGGAGCTAAGGGAGGGGGTTTTTCGGCATAAGTACCGGTACCTATCCGTAAACGCCCCTATCCCCCTCCCACTCTACTCTTATATAACAAAAAACATAGCATAAAGAAAAGTATAGCATAAAATAAAAGACAGTATAAAGAAAAACATAGTATAAAAAGAATATAGCGTAAAGAAAATATAGTATGTAAAGAATATAGTAAAAACATAATATAGAAAAAAGAGTAGTATAAAAATAACTATAGTTTAATAAAAAATATAGCAGAGAAGAAAAAAAGAAAAAAAAATGGAGTATATAAGTATAGTGTCGGTTGACCTAGGTTCGATCGAACGAACGTACGCCTAAGGGGCGTACCAAGAGGTGAGCAGGCAAAGATCTTCTTGTTATTGACTACTGCCCTCTCTCTTCGTACGAAGAAAGAGGGCTCTTAAGTACACATAGCCCCTAACGCACAGGCCAGATAGCCAACGTTTCAGGCAACTGTAAGGCCGGATGTCCCAGAACGGGCCAGTATGGCCTCACCTGACCTGTTTGGAGGTCGTATGACCTGTGCTTCGTATATAAGCATGAATCCTGACAAGCGAAGCTTGGCAGCGATTCGTCTCTCTTACAATACACTCCTATCT